CGCCAGGAGCGAACCCGCGACCTTCCGATCCGGGGAGCGTAATCCTCACCACAGCGGGCTCCGGCTAATTTCTATGAAGCCAAGGGTATTCAAAACTGTGACATTTTAATTTTCCCTCGGGGTAAGGGTTTAAATCAGAATTTTAATTTTACAATTGTTTTCCTATAGCAACCATATTCAATGGGGGCCCAAAAAACTATAGAACGTTTGAATCGGTGGGAAATTTCTAGGAATTAAAATGCGCCCACTGGGAAAACCCTAAAAGAGCGCTCCTTTTGGGAAACCCAATTAGCCCCCCGTCCTGGGGATTACAGGGTTTCCCAAAAAATAACCCTTTTCCCGGGGGTTTTTCATATTGGGAATCTGGAATATGCTTTTTTTTTTGGGGGTTTAAAAAGGGATCTGGAATTTTAGCTTTTTTTTTTGAGGGTTTTAAAACCCGGGAAACTGGATCCCCTGTTTTGGGGCCTAAACCGGGTATTTTTGGGAAAACTGCTTTTTTTTAGGCTAAAACCCGGGGATCTTTGGGTCGCTTTAATTTTGAACCCAAAAACCCGGGGAAGTTGGGGGGGGCTTTTTTTTTTTTTTTGGAGGCTAAACCGGGTAGCTAGGATCTGCCCATTGCAGGCAAAACAAAATATCTGAAAATTCTTTTTTTGGGGGGCTACACTGGGTTTTTTTTTTCCGATTTTCTTTTGGGGGGAAATTAAAGGGTTTTCTGGGATCTGGGTTTTTGGGGGGTTAAAAACCCGGTATCTTTGATCTTTTCCTTTGAGGTTTTTCCGTATAAAGGCAAATTTCTTTTTGGAACCCGGGACCCGGGAAAACTGCCCTTTTCGACAAAATGGGATCGGGAAAACTGGGCCCCTTGCAGGCAAAACCGAGTATTTATAATATGCTTTTTTTTTCGAGGCTAAACCGGGTATCTGGGATTTACCATTTGGAGGCTAAAAAAAGGGGCTGGGTTCTGGGCCCCTTTGGGAAGGGTAACCCGGTAAACTGGGATCCGCTTTTAGAGGTTTAAAATTGGGGGTTTTTTGGGTCCGCAATTTTTTTTGGCCTAACAGGAAAATTTTTCTGGGACTTTCCATTTGGCGGGAACACCATATTTTCTTTTTTTTTTTTCCAGGCTAAAGAGGGATTCTGGGATCTGCTTTATTGAAAGCTAAGCCGGGTATCTGGGATCTGCCCTTTGGAAGCTAAACCAGGTATTCGGGATCTTCTCTTTGGAGGCTGAACCGGGTATCTGGGATTTACCCGTTGGAGGCAGAACCGGATATCCGGGATCTCTTTTTTTTGGGGGTAAATTTGGGGACTTTAGATCTGCTTTGTTTTGCCAAAAACTTGTCATCCAAAAAATGGGACCTTTGGGTTTATGATATGGCTTTTATTGTACGCACCCCGGTCAGCAGACTCAAGGGGGAAAAAACCCTTTTGAATAACCCACTGTGTCCCAATTTGTTAAATGGACAGTACCCTATCCCACGTCCTTTGGGAAGTAAAGACGGCCGGCGTTAATGCTGACCAAAAAATTACCCACCCCATGCCCATTGGTCTGTAAAAATATGGGGGCGCTTTCCCCCTTTTCCGATCGGGGGGGCGTTTAAAAGGTCTTTACTTACATTCCCGGAAACTCAATGGGATTTATTTAAACATTTTGTGAGGGAAAAAAAAAGTCTACCCTTTTAACTAGCCCCCCCCCCCCTCCCCCCCTTTTCTATTTAGTGTCCCCCCCCCCAACCCTTTTCCCGTCCTTCCGACGCAGGGACCAAAAACCTTTGGGACCTCTAAGTCCCCCATCTTAAAGGGGAAACCCGGGAAAGTTTGGGAGGCAAAGAAAGGTCATTTTTGGGGTTTGGGGGTCATATTCACCCTGTGCCTGTTGGTCCCCAAAAAAATATTATTTTTTCCAAAATACCCACAGGAACCGGGTATGGTTTTCCGGGATACAACCCCCCGGGGGATCAGAAATTTTTGGGTTTGGGGTCCTGACGGGGGGGAGCTTTTCAAAATTGACCTTGGCTTCCAGGTCGGCGCAGCTATAAATGGGCACCAGATGAAAGTCAAAGGAAGTTAAGGCTAACCCCATCACCCACCTAGTGCAATTGGTCTATAAAATATATGTCTAGCCCCATGTGCCCAATACGTTTGAAGGCGTGCAAAATGTTCCTTTTAAATTTTTTTGTGTTTACTTTTTCAGTTAAGGAGCTTTTGGCCGAAGGGTTAGAACCTTGTGCTTTTAAGCGGCAGACCCGGGTTCGAATCATCGGTAAGGCTGGGTATTTTTTTCTGTAGGGGCAAAAAAAAAAAAAAACCCTCACCTGCGCAATCAGTAGCGACAGCACTAGCCATGCGACCCTAAATCCTCAGACTAAAATGATCTTACATGTCCCATACATCAAGGCATTTATTTACATCAATGTGTGAGGGAAAAAATAAGTCTACTCTAACTAGTTCCCCCCCCCCCCCCCTTTTTTTTTTACATCGCTAAAGTGCAACAATAAAGGCAGTAATTCCCAGAACTTGTTCAAATTACATTTTTTGTGTGTTATATGAACAAGACTTCACACTATTACGTTACGAAGAATCTAAAGAAAGCTATAGATATAGACATGTCACAAACAGCCTACCTTTATAAGTGCCTATAATGCCTAGTTGAGGATTTGCATTGAGCATAGCGAAGAAAGTTTCATCAGGAACAAACGTGGGCTTTGTCCAGTTCAAAAGCTCCTTGGCTGTGTCATTGTGGAGAACGTAGTCAACAAACGGCCTGCAATCATTTATAAATTCAAGAAGTACTGGAAGCAGGCAGGATAACATATAAAAAAAAAAGTAAACAACCCTTTTCCCCGCCTTTAGGGCATATAGGGCTAGACCTCTATTTTTATAGACCAACAGCACAAGATGGGTGATGTGGTTAGCATCACACCGGGATAACATACAATGTTGGAAAAACCGAAAAAAAAGGAACATTCTGAACGTTGAATGTAAAATTAAAATCGACATCACTCGAGACACTCCCATAAGCGTTCTGTCACCATTTTCAACAGTAAGCGAAGAATTTCAATTGGGATGGTACCAGCAACTATCTGTGTATCGGTCTCGCCTTGCAGTTAAGTGTTGAGCGTTGACCAGATTCCCTGGTAATTCCCCGCAGCAAAAGAAAACGAACAGGAAGAGCCAAATGTCTCGAATAAGATGCGAACACATTGACAGCTAAAGGGAGAATTAAACTTGTCTCACAATCTGAATATTTTTGTCGTATAAAGCGATATGGCAAATTTGAGAAAAAAAAAAAAAAACAGTAGAGGCAATCTAATAGGGCAGGGGTCGACCAACACGAAGAAAGGCACAGGGTTTAAGTGATTCCTTAAATATAAAAGTACACAAAGTTGGAGAGCTGGGAAAAGACCCTGTCTCTTCAGGCAGACAATGATGAGAATGTCGTTCTGCAAGAGACCTGCTACATGATGACATAAAGAGAGATAAACAATACATACAAAAATGAGAATCGTCAAATTTTAGTTATACTTAGCCGTGCTGTATTGTGCCAAAACCTGAACGATAAACAGACAACAAGAAAATAGAACTGAGTCTCTGAAAATGTATACATATGTATATATGTATGTATGTATGTATGTATGTATGTATGTATGTATGTATGTATGTATGTATGTATGTATGTATGGATGGATGGATGGATGGATGGATGGATGGATGGATGGATTGGTGGGTGGGTGGGGTGGGTGGGGTGGGTTGGATGGATGGATGGATGGATGGATGGATGGATGGATGGATGGATGTGGATGGATGGATGATGGATGGATGGATGGATGGATGGATTGATGCTGATGGATGGATGGATGGATGGATGGATGGATGGATGGATGGATGGATGGAATGGATGGATGGATGGTGGGTGGATGGATGGATGAATGGATGGATGGATGGATGGCTGGATGGTATGGATGGACTGGATGGATGGATGGATGGATGGATGATGGATGGATGATGGATGGATGGATGGATGTATGTATGTATGTCAATGTATAGTATGTATGATATGTAATGTATGTATGGTATGTATGTATGTGATGTATGTATGTATGTATGTCTGTATGTATGTACTGTCTGTATGTATGTATGTATTGTATGTTCTGTATGTATGTATGGTATGTATGTATGTCTGTTATGTATGTCTGTATTATGTATGTATGTATGTATGTTATGTATGTATGTCTGTAGGGTTGTATGTATGTATGTATGTCTGTATGTATGTCATTATGTATGTATGTTATGTTTCTGTATGTATGTATGTCTGTATGTGTATGTATGTATGTATGTATGTATGTATGTATGTATGTATGTATGTATGTATGTATGTTTAGGTATAAACAGTTTACCTGTTAACCAAAATATGAACTGATCCCTTAACACGCTTCAATCCCTTTGGCGCCAGTTTGTTGTACCATCTCTCTGGATTTGCACTGTGATTACAAACATGTTTGGCAATAGAATACTTTAAAGCATTAATTTAGATAGAAAAAGAGTGGTAGGGGGTGTGGGGGGAGGGGTATGGCCGGGTCGGCTATTATTAAAAATAGCGAAAGACAGACGGAACGAGAAAATGACAGAGAAAATTGAAAAAATTAGGGGGTGGGGGAGAAAAAAGAATGTTGTTGAAAAACTTAGGAGAGTGAGAAAGACATAAGGAAACAAGGAAAAAAAAAATACAGAAAGAAACAAAGAAAGAAAGAATAAATGAATAAAAGTTTTGTTAGTCTTTGATTAGTGTCAATTACAGCTTATGATCAACACATGCTAACACATAGTTTACTTTGGCATTGCAGACAGGTCGCATCGTGTCATCCCAGTCTGCTTAACCTCACTCTCTCTTCTTCCTGTGTGTCTTATTTGTTTGCCTCTACTGCTTTCCCATATTAACACTGGATTTTTTTCGCAAAGACTTGATAGATGTTTTTTTTTCTAAATGTGTTGCGTATACAAAAATTGCCTCCTGACGCTAATCTCTTGATTTACTTAAATCTACTCTTGATGTCTCCAGTATCTTGGCACAAAAAATAGCATACAACGTCCTCTTATATACGCTGGTGTCGATTAATGAAAATTTAAGTTCCTCACTTTCTCAACGCCTAATTCCCACATATCATCATCATTATCATCATTAGCAGGAGCAGCAGCAGCAGCAGCAGCAGCAGAAGAAGAAGAAGAAGAAGAAGAAGAAGAAGAAGAAGAAGAAGAAGAAGAAGAAGAAGAAGAAGAAGAAGAAGAAGAAGAAGAAGAAGAAGAAGAAGAAGAAGAGGAAGAAGAAGAAGAAGAAGAAGAAGAAGAAGAAAAAGAAAAAAAGAAGAAAAAGAAGAAGAAGAAGAAGAAGAAGAAGAAGAAGAAGAAGAAGAAAGAAGAAGAAGAAGAAGAAGAAGAAGAAGAAAGAAGAAGAAGAAGAAGAAGAAGAAGAAGAAGAAGATGAAGAAGAAGAAGAAGAAGAAGAAGAAGAAGAAAGAAGAAGAAGAAGAAGAAGAAGAAAAGAAGAAGAAGAATAAGAAAGAAGAAGAAGAAGAAGAAGAAGAAGAAGAAGAAGAAGAAGAAAGAAGAAGAAGAAGAAGAAGATCCAAGAAGAAGAAGAAGAAGAAGAGAAGAAGAAGAAGAAGAAGAAGAAGAAGAAGAGAAGCAAGAAGAAGAAGAAGAAGAAGAAGAAGAAGAAGAAGAAGAAGAAGAAGAAGAAGAAGAAGAAGAAGAAGAAGAAGAAGAAGAAGAAGAAGAAGAAGAAGAAGAAGAAGAAGAAGAAGAAGATGAAGAAGAAGAAGAAGAAGAAGAAGAAGAAGAAAAAGAAGAAGAAATTTGTGCTGTAAACTTCTTACTATTTCAGTGTTGTCCTCACATCAACTGATCCGTTGTAGGCAGTGAGGATCTTCACAAGTTCGTAGTTTGTTTTCAGTGGAAACTCTTGCCCTGTCAAATTTATAAGGTATTTCCATTTTCTATACCTCCACAATTCCTCCATGCATATTAGCTCCGGTTCCAGCACCGTGAATGTTCCCCACTTCACGTCAACTCTTGTACTGGCAATGAGCACATTAGGGAAACAATTGGCTATGGCTGAAATAGTTCTGAAAAATTCTAATGGAGATTTGTAATCTACGTGGATACAGTAAACATTCTGTGGGCGGTAGATTGCTCGTAAAAGTCGCTCTACCATCTCAGCGTCTTTATAGACCATCACTGAATACGCTATGGAAAAGTTCCCTTCCTCATTCGTCAGCGAAGACATAATATAGCCACGTTGTTTTTGAAAGTCTGTACAATTTGTTGTTATGTTTAAATAAAACGAGTCCAAAAGTGGAATGCCGGCGTTTGTTTTCAGACTTAGCGCTGCTTTTATTTCATTTTTGTCGCCATCAAATAAAGCTACACAGTTAACTCCAGCAACTTGGACTTTTCTGGCGATTTCTCTTAAATGTTCAGCTTCTGTTGTGTTTTGTATTTCCGTCTTTCCCAAGAAAACGCGTGCAGAATTCTCGAAAGGAATGTAATGAAAGTTGGTCGTAACACTTTTCCATGACTCTAGATAGATGCTGCTTACGAACAGGAGGAATACCAACAAAGAGCACAGCAATAGCCAAAGGAAAAATAGTCGAAACGTTACAGCCTTCTTTCCTGTCGCCATACCTTTGTCTCTTGTAGTGAAACAATTCATTAGGTCTGGAAAAAAAAAAAAGTAAATAATAAATACTGTTTCACAGAAAGTCGTTTCCATCACAGCCCGCTTAAAATCAAGACACAACAGCCCGCCTAAAATCAAGACATCACAGCCCGCCTAAAATCAAGACACAACAGCCCACATCCTCTTAGTTGCCTAAAGACTCGTATTTCTTAAGCCCACTTTCGTGCTATTCGGGGGCTTGTCAGTCGCTTTACTCCACCATATCATTAGTAGTTTCTTTCAAGCCGTTGTATTTCTTGATGTAGTGAAATCGCTTCAGCTTCCAAAACAAGATGCTCTTTACGAGTCAGTTTTCTTGTGTGTTCATATCTTTTATAATGACAGACATGTTCTGTTATTGTAAGAATCTTTTTTGTAGTTTGGTTTATACAACTTATCAACATCATGGCACAAGAGTGGTAACCCATAATTGCTCTGTTCACGGGTGGTGAGCATACTTTATATCTTCTCTCCAGGCAATGCCAGCGTGGTGGACAATGAACAGGCAGACAGATTGACTGAATCCACACCACTGGGCGATGAACTGATACATGACAAGGCAGATGTGGTCAATGCCCTTTGGGAACAAGCAACGGAATCAGTAGAAAAAGAAGATTAATTATGGCCTGGAGAGAATGAGGCACTTGGGTGTAACCAGAGGGTCTGGTTGGCTCACTACACTCAGAGGAAAGGCAAGACGGACTTTTAACCAGATCGTGACCGGTACCATCAGTATTGGAACTCTCGACTAGCTGCTAAAGATGAGGAGAGAGCATGCACGGGAATGCTGTGATGTCAATTCTTGATTCAACTCAACTTCAGCAGCCAACGCAGAGTTCCCGATACTGATGGTACCGGTCACAATTTGGTTAAAAGTCCGCTTTGCCTTTCCTCTGAGTGTAGTGAGCCGACCAGACCCTCTGGTTACACCCAGGTGCCTCATTCTCGCCAGGCCATAATAATCTTCTTCAAAAGCAAATACATGAGGACAATTAAAATACAATGAGATAAATTTTAAAGAAGTGAAGAAATAAGAGAAATGTCAGGGGCAACCAGTCGTATCAACAGTTATAAGACGGAGAAGATGGCGCTATACTAGACACATCCTGAAAAATAAATCAACAAAGAATCACCGATAGGCATTACAATGCATTGATGAGGCGAAGACGCCCAAAAGGAACCTTAAACGAACGTTGGTGAGAGAGACCAAAGCTGCTAGACTAGATTAAATCTATGATATCGAACTGACTGCACAGGATAACACGGAATCGAGAAATAGAGCCCCATACCACACATAATGGCAGAATAGGACAATGAATGAAAAATGAATACACATATTATATACAACACAGCAACACAGTTTGTATCAATGTATTTTACCTACCTACACCATTTTTAGAATCAAATCGTCAAATAACCACAAACCACTGAATTATATTGAAATTTAAAAAAAGATGTCTACCACCGCCAGATGAAACCCATCTGCGTCACGTGGCAGGAGACCGTCACTGATGCCTTTTGATTTGTTTTTGAGATCAATTGTGGCTAGGGATAAGGTTTCTATTCTCCATAGCACAGTACACTACCTGGGGGATATCGAAACTGTGTGTAGCTCCTGCAGCCTGAGCCTTCTCCGTCGACCTGCTTTGCTTACTACAAAGAAAATGTAACACCAAATTATTTTAAATAACGATCGACCGGTCGCAAATGTATGTATACTCACATAGGTAAATATTAAAAGGTCTAACGAAAGAAACCCATTAAATTTTACACGACTGAAGAACTTTCTCTTGAAATATTTTCGTCAGATAGACGTCGTATTTGTCTCACGAAAGTAATAATTTGAGCTACAGGGATCTGCGTGGTCTCAAGGCATGGTGTCCGCCTCGAGTGCTAGGGGTTTCAGGTTCAATACCCGCTAAGGGTTGAATTTTTTTTAACGTGGACTTGAACTTCTAGTAATTCCCTCTGGTCTCTGGTTAGTGGGATCAAACGCCCGTGTGCATTGCTGCGCATGGAACAAATTCCGAGGCAGTTGGTAATCGAAAGAAATAGCCTAACGGCGCTGCCTGGGCAAAATTTATAGTCAAAAATCTACTCAAAGCATTTCAGGATCCTTGCTGGTACTACAGAACCTGTGCACTGTGCTGAGCTTATTCGGACTCAGACATGAGTTAAAAGAAGAACGGAGCGCTTATGGGTTACTAATGTGTACCCAGATGTCGATCAGCGGCGTCCGTGGCTAAGGCGTTGCGAGTCCGACTCGTAAGCCAGCATACCGCGATCGAAACCCACTGCAGGCTGCGTGGATTTTTGTCGTGGTATGGGACGTCGCAGGTCGACCCAGCCTAAAATGGGTACCAGGATGGGCTGTCCTGGGAAAGTAAAGATAGCAGACGTAATGCTGACCACATTACCCACAGAGTGCTGATGGTCTGTAAAAATATGGGACGCTCTGCCCATATGCCCGATGCGCCGAAAGGCGTGAAAAGGGAACTTTACTTTTTTACTTTACCCATATGTCGATATGTCGTTAAAAACTCAAACTTCTTAAATTGAATGAGCTGTTCGAATTGTGTGTCACTGTTTCCAATATGGAAAGCAGTTTTTTTTTAAAAGTTATTATTCTTTTAAATCCCCAGTCTGGCAGCAGGATACAACAGCCGGGTTGGGACTTTTGTAGTATACGAAAGTTTTCATTTGCCCTGTTTCCACGTTAATTTATTGTATTTGTTCTTTGTTATTATCTGGTTTCCTCAAACAGTGATTGTCATGCAGCGTTGGTAATTGTATTGTTGACAGCCTTCTGGCTCACATAATGTCAATCATTTAGTGATACCGACGCTCTTAAATCACACTGGAAAGATGTATGCTAAGATCATCGAAAGAAGGTTAAGACCATGGATATAGTATCAACTTTAAGAAGCACAGATGGGCTTTCGATGAAATAGAAGTTGCAGAAAATGCCATTCATACATTGAGACAATTATCAGAGAGAGCTATAGAACACGATAAGACATGTTTGTTGACATTCACAGACGAGGACAAAGCCTTCGATACAGTCGACATGAATATGTTGCGGGAATGTATGGGGAAAAAGGGAATTAGCAATCATCTCAATAAAATTTGCAATAGTTTTTATACAAGTAATAAATTGTACTCGAACAAAAAAGGCTCTAATGTATCAAGAAAAAAAAAAAAAAAATAAAGAAGAGAAAGCTCGTTAGGAGGGGGACTAGAAACATAAATATTTTAGCCCTGACATGCTTTCTTCTGTGTCAAGTATAGTCAACAAAAAAATAAAAAAAAATAAACAAACCAATAGGCTAACCACAAGTCCTTAACTGCCAAAATAACATAACTGGAACTATGATTACAACACTGAACATCTATTTATTTCACTGTTATAAAATGAGCGTCGTTCACATTAACAAGAAACAACGTGCTCGACAAGAATCTAAAGTGCTGATCATCTCCAACAAGCAATGAAATACGATAAAGAACGCATACGCTCAGAGAAATTACCCCAACAATGGTAATCAAATCTAACACTACTTACATGATTTTAAACGTACCCCCAATCATCAAGTCAGACTCTCTGTCTCGGCGCGTCGCACCTATATTGCGATGTGGCAACATAGGACAACTGGCCCCTGCCAGCCAAAAATGGAGAGACCACTCAACGGATGAGCAAGGCCTTTTATTAACTCATGGCTTGACCAGTGGCCATACTTTTTCAGCATTTTAAGTCTAGCTGCTGAACAGCAGTCTTTAACAATTTTGGGACTTTCACAAACTGCTACATAAGATCAAAGGCAGGATGGTCAAGAACTTTTATAGTGAACTTTGGTGTGCGGCAGGGCTGTGTACTATCGCCACTACTGTTTGTAACAACGAGCTTTATTCATGAAAAACAAATTTACAGAATTACTATTCGCCGACTACCAGGTACTCCCAAAAAATTAAGGAATGCCTACAGAGCCACCTAAATAAAATTAGTACAAAGGGGATGAATATAATATGACAATAAACACTACGAAGACAAGAGACAATGGTAATAGGAAGCCAGAAAGACAATTTAAAAATACAATTAAAAAAAACAAACACACCTTAAGACAAACAGAGGAGTAAAGGTATTTGGGGTCAATTTCTACATCCGACGGAAAACTGGACACAGAAATTAGCTCGAGATGTTCCAAATCAAGTAATAGGGAAACTATCTCCCCTGTTGACACACAAGCAGATACCACGGAGTACTAAAGTGAATCTTATCAGAACTATTGTTTTTGGCCAACACTATGCTATCAGTGCCAAATATGGACACTTACACCCTTCAGTGAACTTACAATTGTGACAACAGAGATGAAATACATTGAAAGAGCTGCAGGAGTTTTAAAGAAAGACAGAATACGATAACACGAAATCAGACGAATGCAGGCAAAAAAGCCAGTCTTACGAGTCTTCAAAGAACAACAAATGAAGTAGTTTGGACACCTAACAAGAATGCCCTGGTACTATTTGCCACAGCTAGCCAAACTAAAACGTTTCAACAGGTGTAGACTGAGTGGAAGACCTCAGAAAAATGGAGTGATGACATTAAGAACAGCCTTACAGAAATAAACATTAGTCTTAATTGTGCTCTTGACAGAGCTCATCAACGAATGTTAATCTCTCTCCGACACTTACCTGAGGTACAATTAGGAAGAGAAGAAGAAGAAGAAGAACGCTCTTACATACAATGTTTTGTATTGAGGGATGTCTG